TTATGGCTAATTAAAATTTTCAATTATAAATAAATTACGTATTAAAATATTTGTTTCGGTTTTCTGTGGTTTGATTTACAGAATGTTGACGCCTCAAGTGTTTAAAAGTGAAAAAATTCTTTCATTTTTAATCGACGAATTGGTTTCTATATAATATATGAATTATGTTCCAATATAAATTGAGAAGTTGAATAAAATAATGCAGTTTTTTGTAATATTTTTTCTCGAAAGCAATATATCAGTGTTTAAAAAAGAATAATAATTAACTTAACAATAAAACAGTACATTTATGTTTTTGGTTCATATATAATGAGTTATTTCCGAAATACATGTTGTCTTCCATGCTCGAAATATAAAAGTAACTTTCTCGAAATATCTGTTGTCGAACCTGTAAAAAAAGAAAAAAAATAATTAGTGATATAACTAACCATACACAAATTAAATTCTAAAAAAATTTACCAAATTTTTTTATTTATTTTTTTTATAATATGCATATTAATTCTGGTACAACCTACATTTCAAAGCATAATACATAAAAAATATATTTTTTACATAAAAACTTTAAGACTATTCTAAACTAAAATATTCAAAATTAATTCGCATATGTTTTTATAAAAATATATAAATACCGACGCTACGAGTATTTTAACTAATTTATAAAAAAACTATTTTTATCAAACATTTTTTCTAAATAAACACACTTAGTCTATGGAGTGCACTCAAATATAATTTAAAAAGAATTATTACATTTATAAGAAATAAAAACTTTCTACAAATCACATAATAATTTCTAAAAACACTATTTAATTAACATATTATTATTACAAAAATTTTGTTCAGCATATTACAAAATAAATGAGACCACAATTTTAACTTTCCGTGTCGGACTGTGAGTCCGCATCGAAAAAGAATCACTTTCTTTAGCAAATGGACCAGATAATATTTAAAAAACATGTATTTCTAAATACGTATCTTCATTTAATCAATATCATTATTAAGACAATCCGAACATATAAATGTACAATGTTCCAAGCACATATATTTAAACATTTAATGCAGAAGTATTTGGTAGGCCTATTTTTCTTTCGGTCACAAAAACCACAACGCCCTCTTTTGTAACTGCTGCCTTTAATTTATGCGACAGGTCTTTGTTTTGGTTCCTTAAAAACAGGGAATCTTTTACGACCTGCACCTTTATTAATAGTTAACCATTTGTGCCCTGTACCAATTAGGACCTTATCTTCCAGCAACTCGATGCAGCATTCTGGCGAAAATTTAGATGCTGCAAACATTGTATTATTAAGAATAATTTTAGAATCAAGTAAGAAAAATATTATGATATTTGTTTTGTATGAATTAACCCGTTCGACTCGAATGCCGCCGCTCCAAAATTTGCGAGTGGAAAGGGTTAATAATGTATTTAATGAAATTAATAGTCGACATTGAAGAAAGCAGTAGTACAGATGATGATGTACAAATTAACTAGGATATGCATGTTGGAAACTGCTTCAAACATTACCATTCTAAAAAAATATCACATATAAATTTAGATATTATTTGATATAAAAATACATTTACCAATATAACTAGATTTATTTTTGATAATTTACTTCAGAATGGTAACTTCTAAAGATTTTTCGACAAGCATAGCTGGTCGATTTGTACCAACTCATCTTTATTCCTGCATACTTTACAAGATTTTCCTGAGCTTGGTCGCTTTGCTATATTTAGTGAAAAAATAATTATATAATGAAAACAGTAAAAAATACTTTAAAAATTATATTTTGTGCCAATAAAAACTTATTAAACTTATAAGAGTAATTGTTGAGAACAATACAAAATATTTAACTTAAATACAAAAAATATAACCTAACTAATAAATAGTATACTAAGAAACTAAAAATACAGTTGCTTTGAAAATTATAATCTTCTAAAATAACTAATAGTACATTTCATAGAGACAACACTGTCATATCACTGCAATTATCTATTCTATTCGACGCTTCAATACGAACTCAACACCAAATGCTAAGTCCCCTCATAGGAGACAGCCAAGAGATGCTAGACTTACGTTGTTCACTCAGAGGGTAAGAAAGAACCCAAAGGGTCAGTTTTCTAGAATAAAATTATCATGGGCTTTGTCTTACCAAATAAAAAACAATCACTTGTACCAACATACTTGATTTCCCAGACAAATATCGAGTAAAATCTGATAATTAACCATTTGTCTAATGCATTCTCCTCTGCAGGAGCAACGTAAGTCAAGCATATCACTTGGATGAACCCTCTAAGGGGATCTGGAATAACTCTAACATTCTAAATTTTCCCTAAAAGAGATATGTTAGACTCACGTTATCCGCTCAAAAGAGACTCCAGGGTGTAAAGGGTTAATTCTCTGATCCTAGTCGTAGGCTCTCTGATCATAGGCTCGTTGACACAAGTGTTTGTTTCCTATTTGGAAAAACAAAGCCCATATTAAAATTTCTCAGACAAATATCGACTAAAATCAGATAATGAACCATTTGTCTCCTGCGCGGGGCAATGTAAGTCAGCATATCACTTGGCTGTCGTCTCTAAGGTAATCTAGAATAACTCCAAAATTCTAAATTTCCTTTAGAAGGGACAACCAGAAGATATGCTAGGCTTACGTTGTCCACTCAAAGGGGACACCAGGGCGCAAAGGGATTAATTCACTGATTCTGGTCGATATTTATCTGAGCAGCAAAAAATTTGGGGTCGTCGACGTAAGTCCTTTTTGAAAAAACAAAGCCCATAAGAAAATTTCTCTTCTTCTCATATTGTTGTTTTTGATGATTTGTGTATCCCCATCATTTTTGCCGCCAATATTCAACAAAGAATAAAGCACAACCATTGGTGCATTAGTATTGCTTGCACAACTTTCAGTAAAGCACAATTTGTCAACTATCTCTACCTCCATCTTTGGTATTATTATAATATTTACAATTTAACCTTTTTTGGATATAAATCTTTCATTGCTTTTAAGGGGCAAAAGTCTATAGTGTTGAATTGCTTTTTAAGACATAATTACTCTCTCGGGACTCTCAGTCCGCATTCGGTAATAACTTTGTAACGTAGAGCTCAAAATTCACAGTAGACTAATCATAAACCTTATAAATATAAGGTCTATGCATTGTAAGGTCTATGAAACTAACGCATATTACGTAAATTTAGAAAGGTTCTGAGGGAGCATTATTTTGCAAACAGCGCAGTACCAAATGATGGCAAAATTTATCTCTGTGCGAAAAGAGAGTCGAATTTTCGACATAACCTAACTAGGATTATCTCATCGGTTCTGTATTTGTCACAGGGCAGTTGCCATGTCTATTCCGTATATGGTCCTTCAAATAATATTTTCTCCTGCATCCATAGTTACAATAAGGACATTTGAAAGCCCCTGGCGGATTTCCGCATTCAAACTTTCTATGTTGCCATAGTCCAGTCGCCCGAGTATAACATTTACCGCAATCAGGGCAAACATGTTGACCTGCGACCGTCGACCTGTCCTGCCCCGAAAAAAATCGGCAACCATATTGAGTATGATTTTGAAATTCGACAAAATCACCAAAATTACTCCAACATTTTGAGCATTGATACTTTTGAGATGATGGATTGTTGAATTGATGTCCTGGTAGAAATTCTGATGGAAGTCCTGTCGCTTGAGCTGAAAAGATCCAAGAATATTAGTGAGAGAGTTGCAAAATTTAATAATTCGTATAAGGAAGGTATACAGAAATGCATTTGTGTTAAAAAATATACTACAAGAACGATTGCAGTAATATATTGATTTTTTATAATACTTGATATAATTTTTTTGTACTCATAAAAACCAAAATGATAAAGGTTAAAATATTGACATGATAGTAGTATTTAAATATATTAGGATATAAATTTGATTTTTTTTCGCTTTTTACAGTTATTACATTTTTATGTTTATGTACATTATATTTAAAGAATAATAATAATAATTTTATTTGAATATTAAGTCAGGACTCCCATATGGTATTTATTTCATTCTTGAGTTTTGGAATGCCCGATTACTCCATTTGCAAATAGAAACCAGATTTTCTAAAAAAAAACTATATAATAAATCAATCAGTGCTTTGGTTTGTGAGTACTGTATTTTTTTTATTTGCAATTGCTAGCAGATTTTCTAGAAAAAAACTCAACAAATAAAATACATGATGGAAGAAATGGTAAAAACCATAGAGTCAAAATAAAAAATAGTATATATTTAAAAACTTAAATAGATTTAAAACTTTATTTAATTTGTTCTAAAATTAATCATATTTTTGACATAATGATTTTGTTTTTGATATCATTAAAATAAAAATTGGATACATATTAAAATTTAATATAAAACAAATTTTATGTAAAATATTGCAGTTTTTAATTGTTCTAAATTAAATGAATAAGTGATATATTAATAATCCATACATATTTTTTTTTAATAATAAAAAATATCTTTGAAATATAAAACATTTTTTAATTCTATTATATAATTTTCCTGAATAGTTTGCTGGTTTATGGTATCATTGAGTTTTGGATATGCATTCTAGAAATATGTAATTTTAAATTGCTTTTTTGATGACATCTATATTGGCAAGAATGACAACGAAACTGAGGTGGCATTCCACATTCATATCGTAAATGTCTTTTTAAATCTTGGGCGTGAACATATGATTTTGAACATTTGGGACATGGATTTTTTGGTTGAAAGCTCCTCCTGAAATAAAAAAAACAATTAATATATAGATCAATATGAATTATAATTTTAAGCATTCAGGCAAAACTATTTTTACCTGTCTAAAGGGTCAAAATTAGATATGTAGTTGGGCGACAAGAAGATCTGATGCGGTTTTCCTAATACGAAGGCTGAAACATAGAAAAATATTTATATTAGATTATTGAATCTAAATTAAATTAAATATTAAAAAAATTATTTTAGTCATAATAAAAATTAATATTATTTACCTTCAGTATTTTAATAGAAAATTATAATCTTGAAATCTGGTAAAAGAAAATACAATAGCCATTTTTGATGGTTTATTTTAATTTTACAGAGATTTGACAAAATATATTTCTTATACCTGCTAAATATTAATTAATACACATTTTTATGATTTTTACAAAACAAATATTCTCTAAGAAAAAAATACGTTCATATAACTATGTATATAATTTTTTAGTGATCACACTCGTTAAAAATATTGTATACTATATAATGTTATTGTATATGATAAAATTTCTTCAATTGTACTAATTTAACATTTATAATTATATTTACTGTATTTATTTTAATATATTTCACTTTAAGCTTTAACATAAATAGAAAATTGTTGCAATTATTATCGCTAATTTTTAGTCTTTGGGTTTTCGTCAAAATATGGATGATACACAATTATAAAATATATACAGGGACCAACATATTTTAGATTATGTAGAACAATTATATAAAACCAGAAACAACTCATGTATTTAAATATATGACTGAAAAATAAGTGTAAGTAAAATTAATTCGATAGGCAGTTAAGCTAAATCCAAAGGAAAAATTATACTACGATGATCACAGGATTTATATATTTAATTTATTTACTCTTAAGATATTTTAAAATGTTTATTATTAATGTGAGTCTTGAGATTATTTTTGAAACAAGTTTTAAATGGACAAATTGTACAAAAAAATTGTGGTTCTTTTCCACAGACATATTTCAAATGTCGATTTAAATCTGTCGAATGCACATATGATTTGGAACATTGAGGACATTTGTGCCTTTTATATAAACAAGGTTGACTGATGTGTTCGATCCATTCGCTTTCATTTCGGAAAAATTTGTTGCAAAGTGAACATTTGGTATAAGGGCTGTAGTTATGGAAAGTGCTTTTAAGCGCAATTTGGTAATCTGAAAAAAAAATAAATATTAGATTAAGAAATTAAGAACACAACATTATAATATATAATTAAAATTAGAAAGGGTCATAAAAAATGTATATCATGATATGCTACAGACCTAAGACATTCGCAGTTTTTAAACTGTAAAAACAGAATTTATAGATAAAGTATTGAGAGAAAATTCAATTAGTAACTTCCACAAATCGATTTGTTTCCTTTATGTGATAAATAAGAGAAAAAAAATGTATTTATTTAGTATTTATTTAGTTATTTAATCATGTGCAAAATGTAATCAATAATAATGTATATCATTTTAGGCTCACGTCTAATTATTATTAAGTAACTATAAGTTTATTACTTATTATTAACTATAAGTTGTATTATAGTACAATTAGTGGCTCCAAAAAACTGCTTCTGAAATAAAAAGAATTATAAAAAACTAGTGCTAGTGCGTGGCACCGTGCCCTAAAACAAATTGCTGCAACTTCCCGTACCAAAAATCAACATTTTTCTAAAAATCTTGAACTTTTTAATTAATGAATTACCATGTTTGGCTCTTTTTGCCCCGTTTCTTTGAAACGACTAGAACTGCTTCTGCCAAAAACTAATAAGCACGTCTTCTTATCAATACGAATGGAATATTTTTTGAATTATTCAAATCGGTTGATCCGTGTTCCGGAAATAGACGAAGAAATTTTGTATCTGCATACACATACGCTCTCTTTCACACAAACACACTCTCTCCCTCTCTCTCACACACACACTCTCACGCACATACACTCTCTCTCTCTCTCTCCTCTCTCGCACACACACATAGATGAAGTTTTTTTAAGGTATGCAAAAATGTTCAGAAACCTTTGAAACGTAAAGATATATAAAAATTTGTACTTTCATTTTTTTGCGATTACGATAACTTACCCTACGGGAAGTTAATTATCGATGGTGATTGATAAAATAGAACAGGAACAGAACATGGTGTACAAAAGATCAAATGATCAGACTACATAAATATAGTTTTGGAAAGAAAATAATTAGTGAAATCGAATTGAGAAAAATTAACAAGAAAATAATATGTTGAAAATAAAAATTAATTTAAAACAAAATACAAATGAAAACAACTAATATCCTCTCTCAGTAGGAAAAGACAGACAATATAAATACAAATTACAGCAGTTCTGACTTTGTCATTGAAAGGGGAGTGCTGTAGGAGTACAGGTCGATATTAACATTTTATGAAATGTGAGTCACGATATAGCAAAATTTTGTAATTGATCATTATCATAGTAATAGTAATAAATAGGCAAAGAAAAAATCGCCAACATGTAAAAAATCTTGAAAACATTGGCAAAGTTGTCGAAGCGAAGTCTCTGAAATTCACAATTATGATACTTTACATGTTTTGATTATTTTTATTACCTAATGGCACAAAAATAAATTACAATATAAAAACATCAAAAATAATATTAGATTAATTAATTTTGGTCCAACCAATTTTCTAATTCAAAACCTATAACACAAAATAAATTGAAACTAGTTACTACGTTGAAAAACTATAGGAAAACGCTAAATAAAAGTAAATTAATTTATTATTCTACAATTCATATACCACATATAATTTTTCTTTGTACTATATAGTTCAAAATAGCTCATGCATATCAAAATAATTAACAATTCTCCGTATGATATTTTTGGTAACAATTAACAGCGCATAGGGCCACATTGCAGAAAGGGCAGCAATATAAAGTTTTCTTAGTAATTCCATTCTTAGAACAAACTGTGCACATCTTTGTTGTTTTTCTTCCTGATGAACCCTTGGCTGGAATTCGAACTAAAAAATGATGTGCATAAGTATTTGGTAAATTGTTATTCAATGTGTGGATTTGGAGGTCTAAAGGATCTTGAGGAAGTTTCATAGAATTTTTCTTGGCATATGAGTATTTTTCAGTCAAATTACTGCGGTAACCTGGAATAGAAATATAAATTAATATTTGTTTTTTTGTATAGAAAAAATATTGAAATTTGCTTATATAACTACATATGAAAACACTTTTTAACCTAAATGAGTTTATTAATAGTAATGATATACAGCTAGGAAACTTATTATTATGATTTTTTACAAAAAGAAAAAAACTAAACTTTTATTCTACACTAAACCAAATTTCATGCATATTTGAATGAGTAAATATTTTATGCAGTTATATCTGTAATATTTTTTCAGTTTTTATTCATTTAGACAAGGATCTGAGAGCCAGGTATCCTAACCACTAGACAATATGGGATTCTTACATATTTTCTAAGCCAATATTATAATTAAATACAGTAACCTTTTTTAATGTTTCATGATATTTTTCAAAACAAGGCACTATACAAAGTGCAACATCACATGCAGAACACAAATAACGCGACTCCTTCCTAACTCCATTTCTGTAGCAATATCTACATCTTTTAGAAGGTTTTGCTCTTGATGATGTAGATGGCACAAACCTAGGATAATGCCCACCTAGAAATAAAATTTCATAGTATTAATAAAAATTATTTAAATTTTTAAAAATTATTCGAAGAAAAAAATACAGTTGGTGAGGTTACAAGCTAAGATGATGGAGCAGTAGGATAGAAAGTAGATTTGAAGTCATAAATCATGCATATATATATATATATATATATATATAAATGTGTAACAAAAATGTTTTGTGTTTGTATTTCAATAAATAATTTACACAATTAAACTAAAATAAAATGACTGAAAAATTAGCCAAGCACAATCTCTATAGAGTCATGAGAGAAATGCTTCCACGACTCCAGTTGATCCATAATTCTTCATTTAAAAATACTTTGGTCTGAAAATACAAATATTAATCAATATACTCAAGCTGATACAAAATTCTTTATTATAATGAGTTGTCATAATATTAATCACAATAATATTTTTTCATGTATAAGTATATTGATCATGTATCTCCTTATGATACTTCTGGAAGCAAGGAGTCACACAAAGGGCTACATGACATGTAGAACAAAAAAATCTAGTTTCTTTCCTAAAACCATTTTTATAACAATATTTACATCTTTTATATGGTTTTGATTTAGTAGGTGTAGGTAGCACAAACATAGGATAATGTCCACCTGAAACAATAATATTGTATGGTTAGTAATGCCAAATATTTATCAAATGGGTATTAGTAATACCCTGAAATTATATAAGAATATAATGAGTTAGATGCTCAAAGAATAAATTAAATATAAATAAATATTGATATAACAAGAGATTAGTAACTTCAATTAATATGAAAGGTGATCATTCAGTCATTGTGATAAAAATTGTATTAAAAATTTTATACAGAAAATAAAACACAAACATTTGATTTTTAACCAAATAAATCCAAAAAATAAAACCAAATTAAAGAACTATAAAACATTTTCTACAATTCAGTTCTATTTCTAAAATTATAATAATTTGTATGATTATTCATGTTATAATATATTTATAATTTTTTTTTGTATAAATTAAAGTAGTATCATAAGAATAAACTTAGTTTATTAGTACAAATTTTGGACCATTATTCTAGAAATGAGCAGCACTTTTTTTAAACAATATTTTGTTTAAACATAAATCATACAGAGTAAGGCGGGGCACAAAGGTCCAATTTGACTTTGAGCAATTATATCGTGAAAAACAATCATATGACAACAAATAACACACATCAAACAAACTATCAAACTATGTTTAGTAAAACTCCCAGTTAATTCACCATTTTAAAAATGAGTTTTTTACAGTGTTTCAATGTGTCACCTGATACATTTTATCTCATAGGCGGGGTAAAATAAAACAACCAAAAATAACAAGTCCAATGTCTTATTTTTAATTTTGAAGGGATTTTATGAAATAATAGCTACATTATTCAACCAATTCAAAATATAAATTTCATGGGTACATTTTTTACAGTAATAACACTGTATATAACCTTGATCTGGTATTTCTTCAGAAATGTTCATCACCAGAGTTGGAATAACTATTTATTTAATTTATCTCTTGTAAAATTGCTTATTTTAACTTAAATGACTTTTTATTTATTATTTTTTGTTGTTTGGTCTTTTTACCCCACCCACATGTAAGATTTTATGGAGGTTATATAAAAAAACTGTCAAATCTAACTTAATATTAAAAATTTATCTTATAAAACAATTAAATAACATTTACTTTAAAATTACATTAAGGTCTCGTAAACTAAACAACAGTGCTCACAACTAAAAAATCTAACAACGAAAGAAAATACTTTTGTTGTAGATTTTTAAACATTGCCGTTGATCTCCAAAAGCAACGTGGTAAGAATAAAGGTGATGGCTGGTTATACATTTTTCCCTCTACTTGCAAATATTATTGTTAAAAAATCTTTACTTGTTTTCGAGATATAGATGGAGAATCTTTTTACCCGCGGACCTTCAAGCCCCGCTCTACCCTATAAAAAACCTTTGGAAAAAAAATCTTAAATAAATGTTCATTTACGAAAAGCATAAAAAATACTTTTTCAGTAGTTTCACAAATTTCTTAAATATCCTTATTGAACAAAATTGTAGTGCTCATTTTCTACAAAAATGGTTTAAATAATTACGTATCTTTGGCAATAGTCTTGTCATCACATTGATAAAATAATAAAATTAATTATAAATAAATTAGACAATATTTTTTTGAAGACCTCAAGCACCACCCCTAAGTAGGGTTTAACATTTCTAAAATTGAAATAAATTGTTTTCTATAAAAATAAATAAATTAGCAGTTTACAATTTGTGACGATTCATCAGCTTTCACAAATTTCTAAAATAAGTCTTCATTGCAAGAAAAAATTTTGTTTGCTCCCCCCATGCTGGGTATTCATATGAGACAAAAGAGTCCCTTTATGATGAGCTTTGTAAGGGCAAGAAAGACACGAAAACTGAGGCTCTTTTCCACATTCATATTTCACGTGTCTTTGAAGATTTCTTGAGTGCACATAAGCCTTTGGACAATTTTCACACTTGTATCTTCTTGTAAATGACAAATCGTTTCGGGGTTTTGGCAGTGCCAATGGTCCAGGGCAGACCGCAGTGTGGGCACTCAGGGCGACCAATCCAGGGAAGAATTTAAAACACTTCTCACATGCATAATTGCAGAAGAATTGGGATGCAGTTAGGGTACCTGGAAAATAAAATAAGAACAAATGTTTAGAAAAATAATAGAAACATATTTTTAATACACATGCAATTTGAAAGTCTATATAGAAGCGAAGTGATCAACAGAACTATGTAGACATATAAAATCAACAATGAGACATAATTATTTTAAAATATAGGTTTACTACATTTTATTTCAGTGGTGACTATAGTAAAATAGTACTAACAATTTAAATATAAGTTTCTTATATATATTTTTCAGCAATCAGAACTTAAGGTATCCTATGAGCTGCCATTTTGACTTCTCAAACGTCTTCTTAAATAGATCCTGATAAATTTTTTATTGATGCAGCAATGTTGGAAAGGACAATTTTCACTTGGAAATATATTGCTACGCAAAAAACGATGTCTCTACTGCTAGACATCAGTCCGTCCAAGATGACCACGGGAAACCCATATATTACTTATATATGCGAAAAACTTCTTCTACATTTAATAAAAATAAATAAAAAAACACATGAGAACAAACATTTTGATTACAATTTTAAATATATATTTAGATAAATTTATAAATGAAAATATTCATTTTAAAATATAAATTTATTACAAATACGTTTTTGTTTAATACATATGTACAATAGTTTCGTATACTAAGCTGCATGATTGCATTTAAAAATAATTGTTATAATCATAATATCATATCTATATATAAATAAAATAAATAATAATAGTTCTATGAGTATTTAAAATACTAACGTAATCTTACATTGAAGAGTCTATATTTGTCAGTCTATTAAGCAAATAATATAATATAAAGTTAATACAATTGCATAATCTTATTTGCCTAGAAAATCTTATATGTCTTGTATATGGTGTCAGTTAATAATACCTTAGATAATTAATATCTTTTTGTATGATATTATTTTTGTTTGCTAAATACATATGTGGACCAAAGACACTGCGAATTTTTATTTTTGATATTCAAACTATCACAATATAAGAAAACAATCAAATTGCAAATGCAATTATAGTTTGAAGGTTGGACTACCTTTTTGCAGCTAATATTGATAGAAAATTCATAATATACTATTAATATTAATATGATAATTTGAACAACAATCAGAACTTAACGAGTTCTATGAGCCGTTGTACTGATTTCTTAAACAAAGAAACTTTAGAGAATGAAACCCAAAAAGTTGTCTTTATCATTATTATTGCAATTTATCAAATACTCGTTATTAACTTCCCGTAGGGCAAGTTATAGTAATCGCAAAAAAATCGAAAATGAAAATTTTTATATATCTTTACGTTTCAGAGGTTTCTGAACATTTTGGCATACCTTAGAAAAAATTGATGTATGTGTGTGTGTGTGTGTGTGTATGTGTGTGTGTGTGTATGTATGTATGTATGTGTGTGTATGTATGTGCGGATACAAATTTTCGTCGACGATTTCGGGAACACGGATCAACCGATTTGAATAATTCAAAAAACATTCGATCCGTATTGATAAGGAGACGTGCTGATTAGTTTTTGGCAAAGGCAGGTCAAGCCGTTCCAAAGATACGGGGCAAAAAGTTCCGAAAACGGTAACTCAGTTTTTAAAAGAACGGAGCGTCCGATTTTAATAATTCAGAAAACATTTTATTTGTATTGACAAGATGAAGAATCGATATAACTTTCATGAAGGTAGGTCCAGCGGTTTCGGAGATATAGAGGAAAAAGTAAAAAAATGAGCCATTTGGCGGTCAAAAATGATCATTAGACATATGCACATCAAATTATCAGACATTTTATAGAGATTTTAACAATAAGTATACATTTTGTTAACATTCCTATCGGTTCCGTACCAATGCTTATGCGTTAGACAGCGACGCGGCGCTTACGCGCTTTATATTTTGTCCCTATGTAGTTAAAGCAGTACGATTGCTTTGAAAAAAAAGTTCAGATCTTCCACAATATGTCAAAATAAAGAAAAAAAAATTTTTTTCAAAAAAAAAAAAATTTTTTTTAAAAAAAATTTAAAAATTTTTTTTTTTTTTTCAAAAAAAACTAATTTTTTGTCCAATTTATAGTTTCTCAAAAATCTTATTTTTTCAAAGTAATTTTTTTTCAAAAATGTTAATCGTTTTAAAAAAAAATAATAATTTTTGGTACGGGAAGTTCCAGCAATTTGCCTTAAGGCACGATGCCCTAATTGCCTTAAGACAGAATTCCACTTACAGCTAGTTTGAAGTTGCAATGCCAGGTAAAAGCTATTTTTACTCATGACCATATTGCTATTTCCAAACCGATGGCGATTCTGCTTGACATCAGGTGAATATTGAAACTAGGATCTCTGATTTAAGGTCCTTAGCTCTAACCACTAGGCCACGGAGGAGCCCATATAAGCACTAAAGATAAAGTGATTCCTGAATTATTAGAAATATGCCGAATCTCCAAAACTATAAAGGGTAAACAAAACTAAGGAAAACGAGGAATACCCTTTTTTAAGGCAAATAGTTTCAATTGTTCAACTGTCTGTTATTATCAGGAAGAATACTTTCTGCCACAGAATTACTGTGTCTTCTAACAATATGAGACTTCATATTGCTCTTGATATGACATTTATAAGCACAATGAGGACACTGAAATTGCGGTTCCTTGCCACATTCATAAGTAATATGGCGATTGAGAGGTCCAGGACCCACATACGTTCGGGGACAATTCGGACACTTGTAACACTTTTCTTCAATTGACACGCGTTTTGGTAAATTAAATGATTGTGAAAATTTAAGTGGATCCTTTTCTTCGGTTTCTGCACACCAATATTTTTTGTGGTGGAGCAAAGCCAATTCATCCCTAAATACCAGAAAACAACGGCTGCAGGGACGAGGCTGAGTATTGACCATAAGCTGCCTCTGCACATGGAGTTTTATATCTGAAATATATTTCATAATTCCAATTAGTAATAATAAAACTGTGTTTTTGGAAAATCATGCAACTCAAAATCGGTATTACAATATATATGTATAAAATTATATATTTTTCTAGGATAATTTATTATATGTACATGTACAAACACATATACACATACACATATACACACACACACATATATATATATATATATATATATATATATATATTTAAACTTATATATATTTCATATTGTTGTATAAAAATTACAATAATATCTTTAAGAAGAAACATCAAAACTGTAAGAAATAGAAATTTAATTCTTGTAAATGGGTAGAGTATAAAAAATTACAAATAATATGAACATTAATTAGAGTATTCATATTGTTATAACAAAATATACTAAATATACATTAATACACTAATAAAAATATCTCAATATCAAATTAATATATTTATAAAAAAATTTCATTCATAATATAAAATTAATTAATAATACAGTGTAGAGCGGGGTACAAAAATCCAATTCAACTTAGCAATTATATTATGAAAAACAAACCAATTATATCACAACAAAGAATACATAAACATATAACAACAGGTTTTTCCCTCTACTTTCAAATATTGTTCTTAAGAAATTCTTAACTTTACTTGTGTTTGAGATATCGGTGGTGGACCTTTTCTCCGCGGACCTTTAAGCCCCGCTCTGCTCTACATAAATAAATATGTCTTTTACTTTGAATCTGCTACCATACTTTGTTAGTGATTTGTTTTTAAAATCATACGACCAAATATTTAATGAATAGAAAATAGCATTTTTATCAATCAATGACACAAAAACTACCAAATTGAATTCTCCTCTTAATTATTACAATCTATATTTACTTTATATTTAACCCTTTCCACTCGGATGCCGCCGCTTCGGCGGCAAAATACATATGAATCTCGTAAATCGCGAGTGGAAAGGGTTAAAGTTGCTAAGAAGTTTTTTTGAACTGTGATGGATAAATCAGACACAAGATAAATTCTATGAGTCATTAGGAATTGAGAATTCAATTAGCTTAAAATTTAGAATTCAAAATCTTAATTAAATTTAATTTTGCAACTAGGTAGAAAATTTCCAATGAAGAGCTCCAGAATTTACGCAGAACTTCACACACTGCTGTACGAGCCAGCAAGCCGTCCAAGTATCCAATTTCCAAGTATCCAAATTCCAAGTATTCAATTTCCAAGTATCCAAATTACAATCAGTATTAATAAAAATGTATTTAAAAATTAAATAATATACTTAAACACAACTAAAAAAAAAGAAAAATTTAATACTCAATTATTTAATTCAGAGTGATAATTCTTGAAGCAAAAATCAACATATCGTGTCATCTATAGGCATTGTAGTGTGATTGATAAAAGTTTAAGTATCATACGGTTTTATTGTCAATCTTTAAAAAAATCAATAATTAGTATCTTATCAATAATTTGTCCTTATGTGTCTTTTTATGGACTTCCAATCGATATTTATAATAGGCTTTATGCGGGCAAAATGGACATTGAAACATAGGCTCTTTCCCACATTCAAATTTCATATGCGCTTTCATATTTTTACTCAAAGTATATGTTTTCGAACACTGTGGACATTCATTTTTTCTTTCTAGTTTCCGAATTTGGTTAGAATAAGCCGAATTTGGAGAACTATAAAGTTTTTCAGAAAATACATGACTGGCGTCTACTGCTTCAAATTGATTGACTTGAAACCCAAATGCAGAATGAATTACGTTCCCTGTAAAAAAAAATTAGTTATATTAATTAAGATAACAAATGAGTTTTTATTGTCCTATTCGCATGCATGTTTATTTAATTGACATGCATTTAACATAATATTAACAAAAATATGATGGTGTTCCCAAAAACATTTACGTTTAAAAAATCTATTGAATAAAAATGTGTCAATAATGTAATTTTAAAACAAAGTTTTCTATTTAATTTTGTTATATTTGTTTTCAAAACAACAATATTAATAAATTAGAATTTGGTAAATTATATACACTTTTATGGTACATTATAATATAGATGCAAACAAATTTCATAAAGGTTCACAGTTTTATAACTAAAAACATTTTTAAATAAATAATTAGTATAGAAGTAAATTTATTAAAAAGCTTAATATTAAAATCTAGTAATGATAATTTGTACATTATTTGCTATAAAACATCTGAAATTTCTTTTGGTTTAAATTAGCATGTCATTTATTAGTGAGATCATAATTGCAATTATTAGCCATTAAATAAATAAAAATACTCAGAAATGCATACATTGCCCAATATTTAATTCATTTATTATTTAACAACTTATTAACATTTAATTGTGATCTTATTTATAATTTGTTTTATTATTTGGTACCAACATTGCTAGTTGTGACAAATATATTTAAATTGGTAGAGGAGACTGGGTGCGGTTGTGCCACTTTTTTGACTAATATAATTTTGTTAATTTACCAGTTACTTGGAAAAAGTAAATTAAATGGTAAATCAATATTTGCCTACGTGGAACTGCTGAAATACTGCCTTAAATTCGATGGATTAGTCATAAAATCCAACAATGTTTGAGTGATCTATCTGTATACATGTAACAGTAATTATTAAATAAAATTAAACAAAAAAAAGAATGCGCGTAAGGATCACACGCGATTGAAGTAAAACTTATTTGCTACTGTATAAGATGGCATTTAAGTAAATATAAATACATCATATAACAGTTTTGAATAATGTTTATTAGTAAAATGGCAACACTCGTGATGCACACATTTATTAGTGTCAACCATTATACACATTTATATAATGATAAATTATAAATTATATACTTATAATAGCATTAAAATATGTATAATATTTAAAAACAATAATGTAATTAAAGTCATACTTCAAATATGACATGATCGGTTTGTCATTGTAATTAGTATTTAGAAATGAACCTTTATCAGAGAAATGAAGTAATTGCTGATTAATAACTTCTATAATATTCGTTCACACAGTGGATTATGTTAAGCAACGCCTAAACAAATATTGTTTTTGCAACTTCACTCATCATGTAATTGTGTTTGAAAAACTTCATGAAATTAAAATTAACTTATTTTTATTTACTTTTTTGTCGTCCATATAATCTCATTCTTGAACAGCTGTAATATCTGTCTTGCCTAAAAAATTTTCCATTTTAATACTTCAAAGATTTATAGAAACTACGAATAATATAGAAATAATTTCTAAGAAACAGTGTACAATATTCTTCTGATTCAAGCATTTTTCAATAGATTTTCGTAGATTTGTACTACGATGTAGCTTAAAATGTTTATTTATCTATGCCGATTTTCGTGTTCATATCGGTACGCATACAACGTTGACGCCGGTACGCATACAACAACAGATCTTTATTCACATACGCGACAACTAATCACAATCGACCCGTACAGAAATGATATCATCAAGAGCGAATGACGAATCACGCACTTCCGTTGCACTTGTACGGATTTACACCCTAGTCGCCCTAAAGAAGTTATACTTAAAAAAACTCACTTAAAAACCATTGGGTTTACCGATCATGTTTATGCAGGGCTCTGATTCAACGGAGTAATGGAAACTTGTTCGAATAAACATACTTCATCTTTCTCCCTTTTAGACCCTATCTTATAATCAGTATAGTTTAGCTGTTATGACATACTCTGGCACAACCATACCCAGTTAGCATATAAGTTTGAAGTATAAAGGGAAGAAAAATTGTGGATGACTTTTGCATATTTATTCAACAAATTTTAGACTAAAATAATGACACTGAACATACAAATTATATTGTCATCTAGTAACTTAATTAACATCAGGCCTTTGCAGTTTCTGATTGATCGCATTTTTAGTCTACAGAACTCTTTTTTATCTAATTTTGTCTAGTGATCCACATTACTGGGATGTCGTCTTCTCATGTGAACATTTAAATTATGATTTCTATAACAACGAAAAGTACAAAAAGCACATTGTATAGGAGGCTCCACTCCGCATTCTTTGAGATGCCGATTTAGAGTCTTCAAATACGAATAATGTTTCCCGCACATTGGACAAATTAGATTTTCTGGCATCTGTTTGAAATCCAAGCTGTTGTAATCCAGGAGAGAATCTTCTAGAAATAAAAAATAAATAATTAGTAAGGTTATAAAAAAAATATTGTTTATAAATTTGAGCTGATATTAAAATAAAATGTCTATGCCTCCTTTAAAGCAAATACAAACCCTGTATATAAAATCAGATTAAAAAATCATATATACAAATTTTTAGAATTAACCAGGTTTTTGCAGAGCAAGATTGATCAACTTACCATTCCTAAATGTCTCTGTATGTTGAAATCTAAATTTTCAAATTTAAATAAAGACAATAATAATAAATCAATTATTACAAAATTTATTATAAGAAATCGTAACAATGAGATATACCTATCTATTATAATAATTCGGTATTAATTTAGTAAATGGCTTTCACTAACTCATAATTTTATTCACAATTAAGATCTTAGTTTAAGAATCTTTGTCAACAAAGATATCAAATACAAACCAATATCTAGAAAAAAACGTTGTGTAAATAAACAGCATGCTTATATATTCTATGCATTCACATATATACATACAACAAAATACATATATAAATATCTAAAAAATAATGGGCAGTATTGCATTAGGGCAGGACCGAGAGCTGAGTTAAAATCCAACTTAATTCAAGGGATTTACCATTGCCGTATCACACTGTAGTGCCCGAAAAGCACTATTTTCAATTGGAAATATGTTTTTTAACTATGTTTCAAAGTACAAAAGGACATCGCTGCTGCACGATGTCACGTTGTTCAGAGCGGAGGTCGAACTCACCAATCCGTGAACTTAACCATCACACCATAAAACATCAATTAAAAAATAATTAAACTAAGAATTTTTCAAACATCTTTATTTTTTCATACGTTTCGACGTAAAATTCTACGTCATCTTCATTGATTCTACAACTTTGAATTTTGAAATAAACAGAAAAAGTAAAGCCGTATCACACCGTAGTGCCCGAAAAGCATCTCTAAAATATAAATAAAAAAAGAAAAAAGGAATTTAACTAAAAGGACAGCCTATATACATAAATTGAAAAATTACAAAAAACATTACTTACTTGAAATTTTTAGATTAACACTAATGCATATTAAATCACATAATATGTAAATAATACAAGTTACAAATTAAGTTTTTGAAATTATACTTTATGTGTTTTTTAATATGTATTAGTATTAATCTAAATATTTCAAAGTAATGTCTTTTGTAATTTTTAATTTAAGATTTTGATTTTAGTAAAAGTTCTAAAAAATAATTTACATTTTATTACAACAAAGAAAACTATAATTGTGAAAAATTTAAACAATAATTATTTACATTTTTGACAAAATTATGTATTGAATAATTTTTTTGTACAAATATTTGAATTATTATACACTTTCTTTTGAATTTTATTGTACAGAATAAATAACTTCAAGTATATTTTTTATTTCACAAAATTATATATTTATAAATATAGTAAAAATTTATTCTTCTTAATCAACCAAATATCTTTCATAGCTGTTTAGTTCTTAAAGTACTCTATGATAAAATAATAGATGATTTTATAATAATATTATAAACAAAATTTTTATATTCCAAAATAAACCAAAGAAATTGATTGATCAAAAATATCAAAATAAAAATTAATAGTATACATCTAACCTTAAGTAAATGAAGAATTAATAGTCATAGTTGGCTTTACTATATACAACATATTTGTTCATAAATAAAGATTTAAGATTTTTAATAAAATGAAAAATAGAAAGTATAGTTAATTATTAATAACAATAATAATAAGTTTTTTATATATATTGTAAATTATATTCCCATTTCTTGTACAGAAAACATTGCAAATTCCGGATGTCTATTTTTGATATGGAAGGCAAGATTTCCTTTTCTGTGAGCTTTATGTGGGCAAACTGGACATTGAAATTTTGGTGGATTTCCACATTCGTAAGTAACATGGTTATAAAGACTACTTTGGTATTTATATGTTTTACTACATTTTTTGCATTTGAAAGATGCATTTTCATTAACTACAGTCTTCAAGGTAAACTGGTCTTTCCTTTGGATGGCAGCCAGTTTTCCTAATGGATCGTAGCCGCAATAGAAGAAACCTGAGAATAAAAAGTTATATAATAGAAAAGATATTTTAAATATATATAAATAAAATTAAATAATGTGTTTATAAAAATTGCCTAATAGCAGATGATGCATTAAATTACCTACACTAATGTAATAAAAAACGCCCTTATTTGGAGTTCCAAAATCTTCAACTGAAGTTTTTATCTCTACTCATAAATATGTACATTAATATTATAATAATTTATATTTTGTGTCTTTTAGCATAGTGTAACTTCAAATTTCCTCTCTGATGGCACCGATATTGACAAATGTTGCAATGGAACATGGGTTCGACTCCACATTCATATCTCATATGTCTTTGAAGACTTCTCACATATGAATAAGGTTTATTGCAATTGTTACACCTAAACAATTCCATGTTATTTCGACTCTGTTGAAGTGTATAGAAATCTGAAACGATAATTATAATAATAAATTAAATAATTTTAAGTAGAAAAAAAAACAAATTTTTTAATATAAACAAATTGAATGGGGCAGGGCAAGGCTCAAAGATCCAATTTGACTTTAAGCAAATATATTGTGAAAACCATAGGAATTATTTCAAAACAAATAGCACATATCTAACAAACAAATATCTGACATGTTTTTTGCTGTTTTTTAAAAAAAAAATCCCTCGACTTTCAAATATTGTTATTAAAAAATTTATAGCTATATTTTTTGAGATAAAATATATTATAAAAGTAATACAATTTATTTTAAACAAAACTATTTCTTACAAGATTCTACTTTCAGTATAAAAATTTTAGAATGCTGAAGAATGTTTCTGTTGTAATGGTTTCACATCTTGTTTCGGATTTGATATCCACCTTCCAGATTGGCATCAAGCGGTAGTGATATCAGATGATTAGTTGAAATTATAGACCTCAAGGAGCATTGTTATCTTGTTATGAAGTATCCAAACACAGGCGTCAATGCCACTAACATAAAATGTAACTGTGCACCATTAAGCCCCATTTACCCTATATTCAATTAGTAAATGTAAATAATTGCAAGGAGAATAACCATATCGCGTTTGTAGTTTATTATTTACAAATAATTTATTTTTCGATAATTTCTAATATAATACAACATTCTTAGATAGTTCGAGCACATAATAGATTTATTTATCATATACATACTTATTTTAATCAAATGAAAAATCAGTTTTAACAGTAATATAAATATACATTAATTATTCTGGGTAGATGTTATTAATTATTATTTTTAAACTTCTGGATCTTCTTTTTTTCTTGAGTTCAAAAATTTAAAAATCAGATACAAAAAGAGGATTTATGTACCAAAACTCAAAAAACCTTCTGCTTATTATAAATTTATAAAAAATATAAAATAAATTATTAAATTTTATTAAGAAGTAATATAATTTTAAATAAATTAATTGATATTCTAATTCTCATCGTCTAAATAAATAGGTCAAGTATATAAAGTATAATAAATAATTACTCAAATTAAAGTCAGTTATATATATATATATATATATATATATATATATATATATATATGATTTATTCACAAAATCTATTCATTTTCAGCTCTATCAAAAATAAAATTCCTGATAATGCTTATAGCCTTTATGTGTCCCCATATGTCGTTTTAGGTTCGATTTTTGATGACTTCTGTATCCACACATAGTGCAATTAAACTTTGGCTCCTTTTTACATTCATTTTTGATATGAGATTGTAAATTTCTTTCATATTTGTAAAATTTTCCACAATCTCGACATTGGAAGAATACTTGTTTCGAGGATTTTGAAGTAGCCGGATAATTTGGAAAACCTGAAAAGTCAAAGTATAATAGAGTTAGTCTTTTAATCAAATTGGTAATTATATAAATTAAGCTGGTGGTATTAAATTGCACAAGGGTAAATTGCACACTAGTAAATTTAATTTAATATATATTTTTATTTGTTAATCTTTTCTGTTATAATTTGTTAGGAATTTATTGACATCAGTATATGGTGAATGAGCCACAAAAAAATTATAAAAAAATCAAACCTTCTTTTTCTTCAAAAAAATAATTAGTTCATTTTTTCAATTATTTCATTCAACGTTTCAAAGAAATGGGATGTTTGCTTCTTCAACAACTATTGATCACAAATTTGAAAAAAAAATTATTATACATTTATACACTTACTTAAATATTTTAAATTTGACAAAGACAATAATGACAAAATTAAATAGATAATTTGCACGAAAAAAGCTTTCACTTCCAAAAATTAAAAATTATACTTATTCAAACCTGTATGAAATATAAATACGTTATTTGAAATAACATACAAAAATATATCGCATAACTAGTAAGTAATAAATATTCAATTGTTTTTATTTTAGCACTAAAATTCAAATAAGTCTTTTATAAAAATCACAGAAAATAATAATTTCTATATTATATACTAATATTTACAAGTATTTTTCAATAATATTCACTATAAATTCACAAAAAATAGAACAATGTTTTTTAGAAGTTTTTTGAAGTATTGCCGTTATATATATATTATATATATATATATATATATATATATATATATATATAATATATTTCAAAATATTTTACTTAAGCTTACGAAATTATATTAAAGACTAAATAAATATCATTTTACTATAAAAATTGCTATTAATACTGCATTAATACATAATATATAGCGATCTGTATAATTACAAAGTTGTATAAAAAGTACATAAAAACTAACACAACAAGTCCAAAATATCTATTAATTAAGGTTGACATCAAATTTGTTGTGTTTTTTTGCATAATGTAGTTTCAAGTTTCCTTTTTGGTGACACTGATAATTACACAAAGTACACTGAAACATTGGAGCAACTCCACATTCATATTTCATGTGCCTTTGAAGATTTCTAATGTATTTATAAGGTTTATTGCAATTTTTGCATCTGACTATTTCGCCAAAATTTTGATCGAAATTCCTTCCAAAATTTTGAGTACTAGGTATAAATTCATTTGCCATAGGCAAGGTGGTAAAATAACTTGAATTGACTTCTGGGTTCTGCCAAGAAGGATGAAAACCTGAAAAATAAAAAATTAAATATTAGAAAAAAATTTAATATCTTGAAATGTCTGGACTCTAGACCAAAAGTAATTTGAACTGTTCATATAAAAATATGGAATTTAATATGTTAAGTAAATAGTTAGCAAATTCTGTACTATTATAGTATATTTAGAAGTTTAGAAGTTTAGAAGTTTTTTGAAGAAAATTCCACTTACTTCAAAACACAGCTTAAAAAAATATTTAAAATTTTAAACCCATTATATATATTTGCTAAAAATAAATAATACCAATTGTGCGATTAATTATACTAGATATCACAAATTTTCAAGACATTATGCAATAGAGTGTTTTATTGATAGACCTTACTACGTGAACTCTAGTTCCTATATGTTTTCCATTTTATAAAGCGTAAAAAGTAAAAGGGGACTGTGGCATCACTATGTGAACGAGCGATGCCGACAATCGTGGAACACTCCCGATTGATTAAATGTCATATGTCACGTGCTTAATTAATTGTTGTGAAAAAATGTTATCATTCGGGAGTGTCCGCGATTGTCGGCAACGCTCGTTCACACAGTGACGTCACAGTCCCCTTCTATCTTTTAACATTTGTTTTTTGCTCGACAAGCATTCCATGTATTATAGGGTCTATGGTATTATTACATAATTATTCATCAGATCATCACTTTTATAAAAAATGGATTTCAGAACCGTATTTGGATATTGTTTCTTATAATTATTCACAATGCAAATATATAGGATTTATTATTACTTATTGCTAATATCAATCAACATTATAAATTTGACTTAAATATACATTATTTACAAATTTCTAATCGATAAAAATATTTAATTCAATTGATCGATAATCGATAAAAACAGTGTCTTAAAAACGTCAAATACGAGTTTTTATTATATCAGCATAATATGAAAAAACAATTGTGATTAAAAAAATCTGTATTTTGTAAAATACTGAGTCACAAAATACAACATATTTTAATTGTAATAAATTTTAATCTCTTAAATTGGATAAAATTCACGTTTTAAATTTAAACTGATCCTGGTATTCGTGGTATAATAGTAGAGACAGTTCGTTACAAAATTATTAACAAATTAAAATTTATTTTTTAATTATATGAATACAATAATAATTTTGACCAAATACATAATAGCAATCAAAGACCACATGATATAAAATAGGGCATATTTTTCAGTTAAACTTCTACATCAATTTCGAAATGTGACAATCATCCATAGCGCCATAGTGAATTAAAAAACATTGGATCAGAACACAAGGCACTGCCATGTACACTGATCAAATGTTTTTTAATTCCTGATTTTTGAAAACTTCTAGCTCCACAAATATTGCAAAGAAATTTTGGTTCTTGATTGCATTGATATTTCAAATGTGAAGTCAGAGTATGCTTGTATTTATATATTCTTGAGCATTTAGGACATTTGAACGCATTTTCAAGGATTGATGATCCGTTGTATCGATTTCGTAGATAAAAATCTGAAAAAAAGGAAAAAATGTTACAATAATATTTAATAAATATTTATTACTTATATGTTTGCATTAAAAATAAACACATATATCAATGTACAGAAAATTAAGTTCACGTTGAATATTTATGGAAACCTACAATAAATTAAATATTAAATTTCAACAATTAGATTCAAATTTTATTAAACTAATTGTATAAATTTGTTCAAATATACATTTTCAATTTTTAAAATTTAGTATTATAACAAACTTATTATTCTAAGATATTTTGTTTAATGAAATCACATTATTTCTCAAAATGAAATGAAAAAGCAAATAAAAATATAAGAAGTAATATTCAGTGATGCAAAAATAATCATACTAAAACCATAAATTTGCTTGTGAAATTTCTATATAAATTTAATGCTTACAGACCATTTTTTTGAAAATTTACTTCGAAGTACAATAAATACAATATCTTTTAATTTTATAAACTTTAATCTTTTAAATTGGATGACATTCACGTTTTAAATTTAAACTGATCCTGGTATTCGTGGTTGTATAGTAGTGAGAGTTTGTTTGAAATTATTTAGAAATTAATTATATTATTTTAAATTTATTTTTAAATTAAATAAATATATTGATAGACTCGTTCAAATAAATAACAGCAATAAAAAACTATAATATACGAAATAATATACGTCATATTTTTCAGTTAAACTTCTACATCAATTTCGAAATGTGACAATCATCCATAGTGCCATGTATTCTGAACAAATGTGTTTTTAATTCCTGCTTTTTGATGACTTCTAGCTCCACAAATACTGCAAAGAAATTTTGGTTCTTGATTGCATTCATTTTTCAAATGTGAAGTCAGATTTTTCTTGTATTTATATATTCTTGGACACATAGGACATTTGAACGCATTTTCAAGGATAGATGTTCCGTTGTATCGATTCCGTAGATCAAAAACTGAAAAAAAGGAAAAAATGTTAGAATAATATTTAATAAAATATTTATTTTTTGACAATTCTTGCAGTAATTTTTTTTCGCAAATTGTTTACAGTAAATTAAAAATAAACACATATTACAAAACACAACGTACAAAATTAAGTTCATGTTATGGGAACCTGTATTAAATTAAATATTAAATTTCAACAATTAGATTCCAATTTTATTAAACTTATTGTATAAATTTGTTCAAATATACATTTTCAATTTTTAAAATTTAATACTACTAAATATACATTATAACAAACTTATTATTCTAATATTTTCCATATAAGCTCCAAAATTTTGTTCAATGTCACATTGTATCCCACAATAGCAATAATCAATTTTATTTATAAAGAAGCAAAATAAAATATAGGAAGTAATATTTAGTGATAAATAAATATTAATACAAAAATCATTAAATTGGTTTGTAAAACATCAAAGTAAACTTAATGCCTCCAGACCATTTTTTTGAAAATTTACTGCAAATAGCTATCTACAATTCAGAATATAACACAAGCAATTTAAATAAAATATAATAAAATAATAATTTTATAAACTACTTCTTATTAAATAGGATTTTGAACTTAGTGCTTATTCAGTTGTAACTTATAGTAATTATTTGAATTTTTATATATAACAGTAAAAATAATATTATTATTATATTAGAAGATATATTTAAAATATTATAAATAATAATTTATAAACACATTACTTAATTACTAAAAAATCACATGAATTCACAAAAAACTTTTTAAAATTTTGATTCACAAACAGCTATTTTTCTATTACAATTTTACTGGAAATCACATTTGTATTTAGGAATATGAATATGGGAATTTGCATGCTGATCAATTAGGTTGGAATAAGAAATAGTTAGTACTGTGTCCACAGACCTTACACTACATGGACTGCTAGTCCTCATATGTTTTCCATTGTATAAAGCGTATAAAACTAGAAGACACTGTGACGTCACATGCTGAACGAGCGTTGCCGACAATCGTGGAACTCTCCCGACATTTAATCAATCAGGAGAGTTCCACGATTGTCGGCAACGCTCGTTCACTAAGTGACGTTACAGTCCCCTTCTATTTTTATGCACTTATTTTGCGCTCGGCTAGAAGCCAATGTAGTATGAATCTATGACTGTGGTTATTGCAAACAATTAAATATATCCATACAGTATTTTAGTTGACCTTACATTGAGGTCTTTGAATACATAAAATGTTGTAGTTGAAGTTGAAGAAGGTGCTGACACATAAATCCGTTGTGCGCTTGGAAATATTTTAAACAATTAGAAATTACTCATTAAAAATAGTTAATACAACTTTATTATTGTTTATGCACTCTTATAACATGGCGCTTCAAGGTGCTCCTCTGGTGTCCTCTGTACGAACAGAATGGACATTGAAATTGGGGCTCTTTGCCACATTCATATCGCGTATGACTGATAAGATGTTGTCTCCATTTGTAGATTTTGTGACAATCTGGACATTCATATTTTCCATGTAAATCATCACTTGGTTTTGGCACTCTTCTCCTGTGGACGGTTTGCATGCCAACGTAGGAGGGACTGAGATGCGGCTCAGGATGCACCACTGGAAATAGAGATAAAATTTATGTGGTAATTTGATAAGTCATCTACAAAAACTAACTAATTATATCGATTAATTCGCTCACATTTTCTAAAATCGTTAAATCTGGCTTCCATAGATTGGACTTGTTTTGCATGCAAAGTACTGGCATTTATGCAACCAATTTGGATGTGAAGTCTCAGGCTGCTGGGACTTGGAAATGCTTCTCTACAACTGGGACATCTATGCCAGAGTGGATTTTCTTCCTCGTACTCATTCAAAAACTTCGTCAGGGCGTATGATACAGAAACTGAAATGAAACCAAGAATGAAGTTAAAATTTGTTCTGGTATCATGAATGTGACTTTGGTACTTTCTAACATGTAGATGAAAAACTAGCTTAAAAATGATGATATACATACAAATATATAGCAGAAGATTAAACACTACTATTTTCCTGCAATAAAAATGGTAAGAGTTAACAATGCATCAGATTAAATAGAACAGAGTCAACTAAATACAAAGTATTGCTACGTCAAACCTTCACAGTTTTTCGCCAAAAAGGGGATTCATGAATTTTTTTGATCAAAAATCGAAATCTTGGCTGAAGTATCTCAAAATCTAAAAATAAAATACAATTGTTTTCATTTAATTAAATTGTATTATATTATAATTTTTCATGATATTTTTATCACCATTGTGTGTTCTCATCAGTCCTAATTTTGTGCATCTATTTAGTCAATACCTGAAAGATATCTGAAAAATATTATATTATAATAAAGTTATTAAAAATCTCAATGTGATAATTTTTTATTATTACAATTTCTATAATACTTGAAGTAATGCAGCAATATATAAAATAGAGCTCTTTTTGTTTGAAAACATATTTCCATCTATATTTCCAAAGATGCCCAAGGAGGTTTGATACTTCTGATTAAAATCTCATTTTATATATTATTATAAAATGCTTTTCATCACTATAATAAATTTGCACATAGCAATTATGTTATAATTATATAATAATACTAATAGAAATTAAAATAAAAAAAATAATTCAAACAAGTTTATTCTAATCTATAAATAAATCATAATGATTACTAAACATCGTAGACTTAATAATTCATAGTATTTGGATGAACAAAGAATAATTGTTTGTGTAATAAAGAATTGTTGCATTGCTGTCAAAATCTGATAAAAAAAAATTAAGGTGATGTAGATTACAAATAATATTCGTGATTACACAAATTACATAAAAAAATTAAAAATAAATGTCAGCATACAAACCATTAGAACGTGTAACATATCAAAACGTTAAATCTTATACAATGGACTCATAACAATATCATTTCAATATTTTAACAATATATGTTTTCTTAAAAGTAAGAAAAACCTGAGAAAACTCTAATCATAATCTTAAATCTAATAAAAATTATCAATAATGCTGAAAACATACAGAAATCTAAAATTATACTTATTAAAACTATTTAGAAATACAGAACGTTAAACATATCGAAATGAAATAAAGAGCAATAGTCTTATAAGATTTTAACAATATCTATCCTCTTAAAAATAAGAAAAACCTGAGAAAACTCTAATCATAATCTTAAATCTAAAAAAAATTATCAATAATACTAAAAACATGCATAAATCTATAAATTTACTTAATAAAACTATTCCTGGCAAGGCACTTAAGGAATAATGCATAAACATAATAATTACAAACAACAAATATGACAAAATTTAAGCATCTTAATTATAATTATAGCTTAAATAATAAGTTCCTTATAAACTAAAATATTAAAAAAAATAAGTATAAAAATTGTTGGATTGCTGTTATTTATATGTGAGTTACAATGAATTCTGTTTAAAAAATTATGTCTATCAACATATGAAGATAATAAAGAATAATTGTGAGAACACAAATTACAAGTAAAAATGGTCAAACAAATTCAATTTAAAATGAACGTCAACAGTTTTTTCAATTTTAACAATATTCATTTTCTTAAAAGTAAGAAAAACCTGAGAAAACTCTAATCATAACCTTAAATCTAAAAAAATTTTCAATAATACTGAAAACATACATAAATCTATAAATTTACTTAATAAAACTATTCCTGACAAGGCACTTAAGTAATAATGCATAAACACAGTAATAGGAAAAAACAAATATGACAAAATTTAAGCACGTTGATTATAACTTAATTTTTTTTTCTTATAAAATAATGATCATATTCGATTCAAAACAATCGAACAAAAGCTTATTCACGTTTTGTGAAAATTTTGTGAAAATAACATATTTGAAATTTAACTTATTTCATCGAAAATCGTTAGCAGAAATAATTAACAGAACATATAATTATTTATAATAGTCATGATTTTTATAAAAAAAAAGTGCTTAGAGTCACTTACTCGAAATTCCAGTAAGAATTGCTTTTCTTCAGCAATGAGTATTATATTAAATTTAATTTTCAATGTATATCTTATAATTGTGATTGTTCTAAAATTTTGAGAAAAATATTTTTTGTTGTTCGAAGTTTTGAAATCATTGCTGAAGAATGCAACACTGGTATGCCGGTATACCGATATACTGCCCGAATTCTCTGCGATATCAATACCGGCATTTACTTGAAAATATCGAATAAATATCTGTATTGTCGTATGGAACAAAATATTTAAATCTGGGTCTTCTATCGCATTTATATCTCATGTGGTCTATCAGTTCATCTGTCTCAAGGAATCGTGCTGGACAATGAAACCAACCTCGTCCTGGACACTTATACCAGCCACTATTGGATGGTGAGCAGAAATATTCAAAATGGTCTGAGATAGATTCTTGATTTTTATACCGTTTATCACACATAGTACAGAAATATTCTCCTTTGAGCATGGGCCCTCTGAGCTTTCGCATTTTTCTATATTGAAGTGATAATTTTAGTCCTGAAAATAGAATAATAATGAAAAGTTAGAATAAAGCATCAAAGTGGAATTTCTAATAAAATCTTAGGTAACAAAATTTTTTTCATAAAAATACAAACTATCCACGAAGGAACATGGCATTAGGAAAATAAGACACAATGAAACTATATCCAAGCATTGAGTACCTATACCAAATTTGCATAAAAATTACCATTCATACTCCTAATATATCCGATATAAATTTATGATAACAATACTATTATTATAATAATAGGTTACCTATTATTACAATAGGTTACCTATTATTATAATAGGTAAAAAAAAGAAAATATTTCAAATAAGTTTATTTTAGCCTATAAATAAATCATAATTATTACATAATTAAACATAGTAGACTCAATGATTCATACTATTTGCATCAAAAACAAAGTATAAAAATCGTTGCAATGCTGTTATTTATATGTCAGTTAGAATATATAAAATATTAGCAAATTCTGACAAAAAAATTAAGGTGAAGTAGATTACAAATAATATTCGTGATAACACAAATTACAACAAAAAAATTAATGCCAAGATTAAATTAGAAAGTGTAATAAATCGAACCGTTTAATATAAAACAATGCACTAATAAGATTTTACATTTTAACAATATCTATTCTTAAAAGTAAGAAAAACCTGAGAAAACTCTAATCATAATCTTAAATCTAAAAAAATTATCAATAATACTGAAAACATACAGAAATCTAAAATTACACTTATTAAAACTATTTAGAAATATAAAACCATGAACATATCGAAATGAAATAAAAATCAATAGTCTTATAAGATTTGGCATTTTAACAATATCTATTCTCTTAAAAGTAAGAAAACCTGAGAAAACTGTAATTATAATCTTAAATCTAAAAAAAATTATCAATAATACTAAAAACATACATAAATCTAATTTTACTTATTAAAACTATTTAGAAATATAGAAAGTTGAACATAACGAAATAAAATAAAAAGCAATGTACTCATAATATTTTGCATTTTAACAATAATTATATTCTCATACATGTAAGAAAAATCTGAGAATACTAATCAAAATCTTAAATATAAAAGAAATTATCTATAATACTAAATACATACATAAATCTATAAATTTAGTTAATAAAACTATTCCTGACAAGGCGCTTAAGAAATAATGCATAAGCATAGTAATAAGAAAAAACAAATTTGACAAAATTTAAGCACTTAATTATGATTATGTCTTTTTTATCTTATGAAATAATGATCATATTCGTTTCTTAGCTTCAAAACAATTGAACGATAGCTTATTCACATTTTGTGAAAATTTTGTAAAAATAACATATTTAAAATTTAACTTATTTCATCAAAAATGGTTAGCAGAAATAATTAACAGAGCATATAATCATTTATAATACTCATGATTTTTATAAAAAAAAGTGCTTAGAGTCACTTACTCGAAATTCCAGTAAGAACTACTTTTCTTCAGCAATGAGTATTACATTGAATTTAATTTTCAATGTATATTTTATAATTGTGAGTGTTCTAAAGATTTGAGAAAAATATTTTTTGTTGTTCGAAGTTTTGAAATCATTGCTGAAGAATGCAATACCAGTATACCGGTATATTGTCCGAATTTTCGGTGGCATTAATACTAGTATTTACTTATAAAACATCGAATAAATATTTGCATCATCGTATGGAACCCAATGTTTAAATCTAGGTCTTCTATCGCATTTATATCTTATGTGGTCTATCAGTTCATCTCTCTTAAGGAATCGTGCTGGACACTTAAACCAACCTCGTCCTGGACACTTCCAGCCACTATTGGATGGTTCGCAGAAAAATTCAAAATGGTCTGATATAGATTCTAGAATTTTATACCGTTTAGAACATATTGTACAGAAATATTCTCCTTTGGGCATGGGCCCTTTGAGCTTTCGCATTTTTCTATATTGACGTGATAATTTTCGTCCTGAAAATAGAATAATAATGAAAAGTTAGAATAAAGCATCAAAGTGGAATTTCTAATAAAATCTTAGGTAACAATTTTTTTTCATAAAAATGCAAACTATCCACGAAGGAACATGGCATTAGGAAGTTTGAAAAATAAAACACAATAAAATCATATCCAAGCATGCAGTATCTATACCAAATTTGCACATGAAAATTAATATTAATACTCCTAATATATCCGATATAAATTTATGATAATAATAGGTAGAAAAAATAAAAATTTCAAATAAGTTTATTCTAGTCTATGAATAAATCATAATAAAACATAGTAGACTTAATGACTATAGTAATCATCAAGAGCAAAGTATAAAAATTGTTGCAATGCTGTTATTTATATGTAAGTTAGAATATATAACATATTATCAAATTCTGATAAAAAAAATTAAGGTGATGTAGATTACAAATAATATTCGTGATAACACAAATTACAACAAAAAAAAAAGAATGTCAGGATTAAAATAGAAAGTGTAATAAATCGAACCGTTAAATATAAAAAATGCACTTATAAGATTTTGCATTTTAACAATATCTATTCTTAAAAGTAAGAAAAACTTGAGAAAACTCTAATCATAATCTTAAATCTAAAAAATATTATCAATAATACTAAAAATATACAGAAATCTAAAATTATACTTACTAAAACTATTTAGAAATATAAAACGTTAAACATATCAAAATGAAATAAGCATTAGTCTTATAATTTTTGGCATTTTAACAATATCTATTCTCTTTAAAGTGAGAAAAACCTGAGAAAAAGCAATGCACTCATAAGATTTTGCATTTTTGCAATATCATTCTTTTACAAGTAAGAATAACCTAAGAAAACTCTAATCATAATCTTAAATCTAAAAAAAATTATTAATAATACTAACAAGATGCATAAATCTATAAATTTACTTAATAAAACTATTCCTGACAAGGCACTTAAGAAATAATGCATAAACATAGTAATAAGAAAAAACAAATATTGCAAAATTAACTAAAATTAATTAACTTAGGTAATTTGTTTCTTATAAACTAAAATATTAAAAATATTAATTAAAAAATTATGATCGTTATGAAAAATTATGAATATCGTTTTTTAGCTCCAAAACAATCGAACAAAAGCAAATTCTCGATACTAATTTTGTGAACATATTTAAAATTTAACTTATTTTTTCAAAAATGGTTGGCAAAAATAATATATAAAAAGTAAAATCATTTATAACAGTCATAGTTATTTTAAAAAAATGCCTATAGTTACTTTCTCAAAATTCCAGTAAGTACTACTATTCTTCAGCAAGATTTCAAAACTTCGAACAACAAAAAATATTTTTTCAAATATTTAGAACACTCACAATAATCAGATATACATTGAAAATTAAATTTAATATAATACACAATGTGTATATCGAATAATCGTGAGTGTTCTAAGATTTGAAAAAAATATTTTTTTTTATTCGAAGTTTTGAAGTAATTGCTGAAGAATAGTAGTACTTATTTGGGGAATGCAATACCCAATTTGGGTGTACCAAAATACCGGTATACAGCTCAAATTTTCGGCGGTATTAATACCGGCATTTACCAAAAAATATCGAATAAATATGTGTATTGTGGTATGGAACCCAATATTTAAATCTAGGTCTTCTATCGCATTTGTATCTCATGTGGTCTATCAGTTCATCTGTCTTAAGGAATCGTGCTGGACACAAAAACCGACCTCGTCCTGGACACCTATACCAGCTACCATTGGATGGTGAGCAGAAAAATTGAAAATGCTCTGAGATAGATAGTGAACCTTCATATGGTTCAGCACATATAGTACAGAAATATTGTCCTTTGGCCTGCTGCCATTTGAGCTTTCGCATTTTTCTATATTGAAGTGATAATTTTCGTCCTAAAAATAGAATAATAATGAAAAGTTAGAAGAAAGCATCAAATTATCTCCTGTATGGAGTATCTAATAAAATCTTAGGTAATAAATTTGTTTTCGTAAAAATACAAACTATCCATGAAAGAGCATGGAATAATATTAGAAAGTTTGGAAAATAAGACAATGAAACCATATCAATTCTTAAAATTGAAGTATGAAATTTATAATAACATTATATATTTTTAAGTTTTCAATTACAAAAATATCAAACCTTATGACTAAAAAATAAGTACATATTCCATATACACCTATAATAACAAAAATAATCAGTCATCTATAAGTTTTCTTAAACATTTTAAGAATTAACATTTATCACATATATCACATACACTGAATTCATAACAAGTTTAAACATTTTCAGATAACTCTTCGATAATAATAATATTTCATATTTGGTTTGTTTAAAAATATCATATTATAATAAAAAATATAATAGAATAAATTTATAGATATTTATATAAAAATAATAGATTTTATTTCATAACATTTTTTCCTCGAATTAATACTCAACAGATCATATTTGTAATACTTTATAAAAATAATATGATTGTTAGTTTTTATTAATTATTTGTGTTAATTGGTTTATTTCGATAATACGTAGGGGAGACTGGATACAGTTGTACCAGGATGCGGTAGTGACAGGCATCAAAACAGCTAAACTATACTGATTTTGAGATAAGGTCCAAAGGGAAAAAGATAAAGAATGTTTGTTCGAACAAGTTCACCTACAAGACCTACAAGTTTTTAATAATTACGGTAGCGACAGTCGTCAAAACAGCTGAACTTTAGTGATTTTGAGATAGGGTGCAAAGGGAGAAAAATGAAGTATGTTTGTTCGAACAAGTTTCCATTATTGCATTGAATCAGTGACCTACAAGTTTTTATTAATTATTTTTATATTGACGTGTTAATAGGTTTATTACGATAATGCGTAGAGAAGACTGGGTACATTTGTACCAGGTTACGGTGGTGGCAATAGTAAAAACAGCTAAACTCTACTGATTTTGAGGAAAAGTCCACGAGAAAAAGATGAAGTATGTTTATTCGAACAAGTTTATATTATTGCATTGAATCAGCAACCTACAACCACGTAGACAAATGTTCGAATTAACAAATTTATTGCTATTCAAAAAAAATTGCACAACCGTACCTACTCTCACATACTATATGCTTTGTATAAAAATAAAAAATGCAACGTAAAAAAGCTGATATAAAAGTTTAATAGAATAAAAAAAAATTCGTATTATAGTAAAAAGTAATTTTTAAGTTTGTAAGTCGTTTCAGTTATTTTTAAAGACTACGGTCATAATATAAGACGAATAACAAAAATGACCCTTTGAAGTAAAAATCAGTCATATTTATGTTTGGACTTCGCATGCCTCACAACGTGGCTTTTATAGTGACTTTTATAAGAGCAGAATTTGCAGCTAAAAGCCGGCTGTTTATTTCCACATTGGTATCTTATATGTCGTAATAAATGCTGCCTTCTTTTGTACGATTTATTACATTCTGTACATGTATGATTCTCTCTTAGATCCAAAAAATGATGATCCAAAAAACCAAAATCCGGATCACTGGATAACAACGAAGATGCTTCGCCAAAATCTGAAAAAAAATTATAATATGTCAGATTGATAGCAAAAATATTTAGACATTTGAAAATTCCCATGTTAATCTATTTGAAAAGTTCATGTTGAAAGTAAAAATAAATATGTAATTATAACAAAATGTACTGCATTATATTTATTATTATTATATATACAATATTTACAGAAATATTATTACCATAAGTAGCAAATATTTACAATTTCTAATAATTAAGTACGTATTTGTAATAATTAAGTAAGGGAAAATTGAAATAAATCAAACTTTATTATTATGAAAATTTCATATGAAATACCATAAAATTCCACACAAAACAGATGAAATTCCAATATAAAATGTAACTAGTACGTATTGGTATTTTACGTATATGTAAAAATAATCGACTTAATCAATAAAAAGTAATTAATTTATGAGTGATTGAAAGTATTCCGAGTAAATTTATTACACATAATTGAAAACGAACGAATACATTAACTCGGAGTATTTTCTAAAAGCAAATTTCCAAAAATCTAAAATTTTTATAATTGAACCAGTTTCCGTAAGATTTTAATGGTTTAGTAAGTTTATTAAGACCAAGTACTCTTTCGTTATACCAAGTAAATCGCCTAATTTTAATTTAAAAAAACGTCAAAAAAACTACAAATTTTCTCAAATTTTGATGAATTTTAAAAATTAAACTACTTGTCGTAAGACCGTAATATTATATTTCAGTAAGTTCTGTAAGACCATGATATATTTTGCCAAAAAGAAGTTCTATAAAAATCGGCTTAAATATTTTTTCAACAGTTAATTACAAAAAAACGTCGATTTACGGAAAAAAATCTGTTCACATATACAAACGAACACACATGCTTTTTCCATATTTGAAACTTAAAATTAGCGAATCGCATTTTTTGATGAAAACAAACTTCTCATTTGGGAAATTAAAAAAAAATATTTTAAGATAGTGTTTCTAGATATCATTATTCGTTTTCCCATATTGTACTTCATCACGATGTCTATAATAATGTCGATTCAAATTACTCAAATAATGACTTTTATAAGGACACAAATGGCAAATAAATTTCGGTTCTTTCCCACATTCGAATTTCTGATGTCGTTGCATATTGCCTTTGGTTGAATAACTTTTATTGCACGTAGGACATTGCACCATAGTATTGGAAGTATTGAATGTTTTTCCTTGATTGTTATATTTAAGTTTTTCTTCATTTTCAAAGGTACGCCATTGAGTTTCTGATGCATTTATTGTACCGTCATCGAGAAGTCCAAATTTAAACAAGTTCTGCATATCTGCAAAAATAAGAAGATATGTTAGGTAAAGGAAAAACTAATAAGATTAATTATCGCAATTGAAAAATTCAGTTGTTGTTACGTTAACGTACATGTTAACGAATTTGTTAAAATACATATTTTATACATTTTTAGACAAATATACAAAAAATTATAAATACTATGAAATATACTAAATGTCTAAAAAAAGCTGTTTGCTTTACAAAATATGTAGCAATGATGGATTTAAAAAATTTACAGCAGATATATTATAAACAGGTAAAGAAAATATTAAAAGTGTATTAAAAATTTATAAGGAAACTAAATAGTCTCAATACACTTTATTATCTGTAATAAGACAAATATGTAAGATCTTGCATATGCAATAAATATTTATATTATTCCATAATCTTGATAAATATTTACAAGAATCAATTTTACATAATAAAATATATTAAATAGTTACATAATTTTTTTTATTGTTAATAAATTATTTCTAATGACATTTTGGTTTCAGAAATGAGGTAGATAATTTTATTTAATTTACACTCAAATATTATATTGAACATATTTGCTCAATATAATTTTGCTTTATTTAAAGTGAGTAATAACATAAGTGTATAATATAAGTTATAGTAATCGCAAAAAAATCAAAATCAAAAATGTTTGCATATCTTTACGTTTTAAGGTCTTCTGAACATTTTGGCATACCTAAAAAAATAGATGTATGTGTGTGCGTGTGTATGTATGTGTGTATGTGTGTATGTGTGTGCGGATACAAATTTTCGTGGACGATTTCGGGAACTCGGGCCAACCGATATGATTAATTCAAAAAACATTCGTATTAATAAGGATACGTGTTGATTGATTTTTGGCAGAGGCAGGTCAAGCCGTTTTGAAAAGACGGGGCAAAAAGTGAAAACAAATTTTTTATAGTTCGAAAAGAAAAATGAATTTTTTCAAAAAAAATTTTTTGTTACGGGATGTTCCAGCAATTTGCCTTAGGGTAAGATGTACTGCAGGTTTAATTTATCCTATATATTAAACATCCTTTTGGTTTTTACAAGACGCTCCAATAATATGTGGCTAAAAGTGTTCGAATAAATTAAATTAATTTGATAAAATTCGTTGAAATTCTCACATTTTGAAATGATATATTTATAATTCGCTTAAATACAATATCTTAATTTGCTATGACTTTCTTAGTAAAATCCAATATCACATATTGAATAAATATTTTGTTCAGACAACAACATTATGAGTTCTCCTCAGATGTTTTTTTAAATATCCGTTATAATAAGTTGCAAAATTGCATTGATCACAAAAAAATTGTGGATCTTTTCCACATTCCCATTTGAGATGACTGTTCAAATGATTTCGATATTTAAAAGATCTTCCACAGTTGCATAGAAATGGTTTTGGCGCACAAAGCCTTCTTCTGTACACTTTTGGATGCCTAAACCCTAAGTTGCATCCTGAAACAAAAAATGATGTTAATTAAAAAAATTATAAATGAATATATTGAAGATTTATGAATTCTTGTAGAAACTAGAAACTTGCTCGAAGAAAATAAAACCAAACAATTTTCATAAAAAATATTTAATCCATAGTTTCATTTTGGGCAACAAATAGTTTTATTTAATGTATTTAGTGTAGAAAATACTATGAATTTGGACGTACGTCTTCCTAATGTGATAAATCATAAAAATTTAAATGAAATGATTTCTCTCGAATATAGAGTTTTAAGTTATTTAAAGTACTAAATTGATATGGCCTACATTCTTTAGGAATTATATACAATCACTTTGTAGTGCATAAATCACATTTTCATACATATGGTAATAACATATCACTCTAAAATACTATATGTTTCGGATAATATTAAATTAACTATAAAAAGTGATAAATAAATATATAATATAAATTCTATAAATAATTAATTATAATAATACTTTTTAATATTCTGTTTTAATAATTTTAACACATATAAAACACAATATTCTTGCACAACACTGTGTAATGAATTAATTTACTTAATTAAGTAAAACTAAATTAATTTGTTGTCTAATATAAAGCTTCTTCAATCCATTCTATTTTCAGCATTATATTTCGCATTTGGATGTTTTGCAGAAAAATGACGCTTTAGATTATTTCCTTGATAGCTTTTGTAAGGACATAAGTTGCACTTAAATTGAGGATCTTTTCCACAGTCCCAATTCTGGTGCTTCCTAAGATATTGTAATCGTTTATATGATCTACCACAATTTGGGCACTGGTAAACCCTTTGGGCTTCCTTCATTCTCCAATCATTTTCTTGTATTGAAGTATTGGGTCCTGGATTGATTTGTGAAGGAGCAGTTTCATTCCAGAATTTCCAAGGTTGATTTTCTGGTGTTTCGGGAAAATAATTCGATGAAAGTTGACCTGAAAATATTGAATAAAACTGTAAAATATAGTTTTTTTTAAGTTTAACAGAGCAAATGCAAATAGTAAAATCAGATTGTTTACAGTATTAAAATATGCAGTTGAGGTAACTGGGTTCGGTTGTTCCAGGTTACGGTAGTAACAGTCATCATAACAGCTAATCTATACTGATTTTGACATATGGTCCAAAGGGAAAAAGGAGAAGTATGATTTTTCGAACAAGTTTACATAATTTCAATGAGTCAAAAAAAATCTAAAAAAATTTTTTATGACCTATTTGTACGAGTAATTATTGCATTATTCAGTTTTCATGGTTTTCTTCCTTCTTAAAATAATTTTTTGTATGAACGATATTTTTATTTTCCTGAGATGCCAATTGCATATGAACTGGATCGAAAACATTGTTAGGCAATATGAAAATAGGTGTGAAGATGCCCGGCACAATGTTTGTTAATTAGATTGTTTATTACTACCCCGAAGGACCAGATATAATTAATAGACATGCTTTATGTTGTAGTGGTGTAATGATAAAGCTACAAGATGACTCCAAAATGCACGAACCTATTTCGACAATTTTGCATTCGTTGGAAAGGTCTCGGGCTCCGCAAGGTTTATAGCTAAGAAAATTAGTGGTGCCTTAATGCAAATTGCTGGAACTTCACGCACCGCAATTAAAAATTCGAGTAATGACATTAGTGAGAATTATCAGAATTATGCTTGGTTAAGTCAACGAGCAATTCTTGCCGCAAAAATTATGATGTACACGCACTGAATTTCACCATTCAATCAAAAATTGCTGGCGATTTGGTGACATACCAATGATTCCGACTGGTCTTCCGTTTGACTTCAAACGATTGCAATTTCCAGTTTGCCTTGCGTTCGCAATAATAAGTCGCAAGGCCAATCGCTTAGTGTTTGCGGGATAAATTTCAAATTGATTATTTAGAAAATCATTGTTTTTCACATGGGCAGTTATACGTTGCCTGTTCACGAGTTGGAAAACCATCCGCTTTGTTTGTGTTAACGTCAGACCAAAAAACAAAAATGTGGTTCACCAAAGAGCACTTCAATGAAACGGATAATTTGCGGATTCACTTTCATTTACTTAAAGAAGTTCAACAAAAAACACTTCATTTTTGTAATCGAAATAAATTCATTACTGTTGTGTAATAAAATCAATTTTTTGATTTGTATTGATTAAAGTCTTGTTTGGTGTTTAAAGTCTCAAGATAAAATAGTTTATGCATTGATTTTACAATATGGTATATGTCACTGTTAGTTGTTAGTACACAAAGTTTAGTTGTTGCACAATTCACCACACTATTGTTTGTTTTATTGGTCACAGCACGCACAGTACCTTCCTTCCCCAGTCAAGTGTTGAAAGATTTTAATTAGACATAATAATTGCGTATGCAATTTTGATCTTGTCGCATGCTTCCAAAAGGTTAATCCCTGCAGTCGTGGATTCCGAAATAGTCTCTTGACAGCAATAGTGGGTTAAGTATGGAGGTTATAAAATTTTCAATTGCAAAGTGAATGATTGTTAAGGATTAGTAATTAGGATTGGAATCAAAGGAGATTCACGTTTAGAATTTTGTCAATCTGCGTTAAAATAGGTTTAAGTTAAATTGTTCATAAGAATGTTTGTATGTTAAATAAACGTTTTCGACATTTCATTTTAACGTGCTTTATGAGATTTAATATCATCCCAAATGCTACGAGAATTACCTGGCGATTCGATATAAAAATTCCTTTCACCAGCAATAAAAATCAGGCACGTAATAAACATATTATGTTAAAGAGATTCAAATGTTTTGAATACTACTTACGATCGAACGATAAATTATCTAAAGAATATTACATGATTAACGAGGCAAATAAAACTTTCATTACTAACAACTAAACAAAATTTAACAAAACTTTTAGTGAACGACAAATTAATAATATGTATATATATATATATAAATTAATATGTTTATTACGCGTAATAAACATAATATATGTTTATTACGTGCCTGATTTTTATTGCTGGTGAAAGGAATTTTTATATCGAATCGCCAGGTAATTCTCGTACTATTTGGGGTGAGATTTTGTTTTCCGGCTAGTACCTGGTTTTCCAGGTTTGAGGTAAAATTATAAATTGAAAAAGATTTGGGATGCGTGTTCACGGTTAAGCCGAATTGAGTAATATGCAAATCAGGTTTATTGTTACTTAATTTTATGTTTTTATTATAAAAGGTGTCGTTGTCGAATACAAATTTTGCTTTATTACTTTTCTTAAATGTAGAGTCTGGTAATTTTGCAAATTTTATTATTTTTTATTAGTTATGCTCTTTGTCTCGGGTTTAGGGTAATTGAATTTTTGGAAATGATTGATATATTTGATCAAACTCACGTAATTTGATCAAAATTGGAGGTTGTTTTATATTGTTTGATCACTAAAGCTGCTAGTAGAACCAGATTTAGTGGATGCTTTATTAAGAAGTTTACGTAATTTTGATAGACATCTAGTGTGATCGTCATCGAAATCAATTAGTTCTATTTCTAATAATTGATCAATTTCTTCTTCGTCGTCTAAAAAGTTAGTTGTTTCGA